GGAGGGAGCAGTTCTTTGGCCCAATGGGACTGTGAGGGAGGAGGGAGAGAGCACACCAGTACCCATTTCTGGACATGGTGTTGACAGAGATTGACAGTGTTTGAGGGTTTTTCAGGAAATGGCTTTATCACAGTGGTTCTTTAGTTGCTTACAGTACTTTTTGAGAGGTTGTATGGTATCACAGGTTAATTTCACTTTAGCATTTTGTCTAACTTCAGTTGCTGTTTTTGGCTTTCTGACAAGATTCTGCTAATCAATTTCTGTCTTTCTAGTTTGTGCATTGTGGCATGTACAAATCTTGCCACCTATACTCTGCCTCTCTTTTTACCTTTGGTTATAGAAAAAGCTTTGAAGGAAATAATTTATATAGATCGAAAGTAACTGCCAGGTAAGTTTTGTGCAGGATACAGAATAATTATTTTCATGTTGCTCATTGAAATTATGTGAATAATAGGTATCAAATAAGCATAATGTGTGAGTCTGCAGAAGATCTTTCAGCCGAAGTAGTATGGCTTTGGACATGTGGCAGTTATTTTTTTAGCAAAAACTGTAATTAGAGAAAAAAAAAGGGGTGGGGTGGGTCTAGTCCCTTTGAAATGCAGAGTAGAAAGCTTCATTGATAGAAGTGAGCATTGGGGTAGCAGATATGCACATCAGAGTTACTGCATCCACGTGAGGGATAGGGAGGAGCTGCATTCTTAATGTTCCCAGGAGCAGGTAAACCTGCTTTGATCAAGTCTGGAACTAAAACTTTTCCTGACTGTTCCTGTTCAGCACTGCGTAGGTTTTGAACAGTCTTCCCAAGTAGCTGCTTATTGCCATAAGGGGGAAAGTAACTCATTCTCTAGAATTTGTGTATTATTTCAGTCTTGCAGGGATTTGGCAGTAATCAATTTACCATCACCCAATAATGAATTTTGCTAACAAACTTCATAATGTGGTGATAATACAGTTGGAGAGACTGTATTATCACCAGGCACGTAGTTCCAGCACTTTTTTGTTTGTTTGTTTTGTTTTGTTTTGTTTTCAGGAGACAAAGATAAATTATTGTAGCAGAATCACTACAAAACTCTGGAGAAAACACCACATACTTTCCTTGCAGGGTGATGAAAGTTTATATGGTGATGCTGGCTGCAGTGTCTTATCAGAAGAGATCAAAAATAGACTGAAACTTTCAGTTGTACTCGGTAGTGTTAGTAAATTCTTTACTGATAGAATGGGATAGTAAGCTTCTTTTAATGTCCAATGCAAAATGCTAGGCATTTCAAATTAGATTTGTCTATTTATTAGAGAGTTGAACATTGAAATTTTTTTGTTAAAAGTCATTTTTTAACTGGTTCAATTGACTCATGTTGTTTATGTAACTTAAACCCACATTATTTAAACCAATTTTAAAACCATAATTAGATTTATTTTTTAAATAAAAGTTGTTTAAAATAGAAGATGTTCTTTGAAATGGAGAAAAACAGTCTAAAAAAATCAAAATTGTTGGAAGTAGAAATACTAAAAGTTCTGTTCAATATTGACAAATGGGTTTCAGCAAATACTTTACTTAAAAACTGCCCGCCCATTTTATTTTGGATAGAAACACAACTCTGGTTGGTCTTTTCCAGTGCAGTGGACTATAGGAGGATGCCTCAACATCATTTGTTTTCTCAAAACATGTAATAAACTATTAGATTTGCAGCAACTAGGTTTTGCAGCACAAAATAATTTAAGACTTTTTAGCAAACTGAAGAGTTGAGCAATGATATATGTGTGTGTATACGTAAATATATAGGAAATTTTATTGGACAGATGCTTTCACCTTATATATACAAGCTTATCTGTAAAGCGGATCACAGTTCACAGCTGATGTAATCTCCAGTTGTCCCTGGCAAAATAGGTAAGGTTGTACACAGCCTTGAAGATGACTTCAAGATAAATTAGGATAATGACTACCTGTCTTGAGAAAGAGATTTTTCTGTTTTATGACATTTCTCTTACAAAAATTATTAAAAGGTGGATCTTGACAATTCCTTTTGGAATAGATAGCAATCAATAGACAGGCTCCATACAAATGCCTTTTCCCCCAAATAGTGTAAGGAACTGTTTTCTGCAAAAGATGTCACCACTTGGTCAAGCAACAGATGCTCATTTCTGCATGTAGGAGCTTGTGCTGTGCTCTCTGCCTTGCCATCTCCTCCTTCAGTGTTCGGCAGGGTGCCTGTAGAGGCTCTGGCTGGCACCGCTCCCAAGCGCAGATGCTATTGGACACCCCCCAAATGCAGTGTTGCCTTTAGAGACCTCTGAGTTCTGATGTAAGCAGTCAGGCTCTACCTGGTCCCCAAATGCTTTTCACATCTCTTGAACTGTCTTGTTACTTAAGACATGCAGCATTGTTCCAGGATTTGCAGTAGTCCCCATTCTATTTAGAAGAGTGAATATGTTGGTTAAAGAGGTAAGCTATTTAAATAGCTAATGCATTTGAGAAATGCAGTCACTGTTGAAACAGTAAAAAAGGCAAAAAGAGAATTTGCCAGAAAGTGTGCCATTTCTAATGTGAAATCCATAATTATATTATCAGTATTTGCTTAAAGGCAGAGTTGGCACAATATTAAAATGTCACACAGTCTGAAGAGCAGCAGAATCCCTTAGCTGCTTGTATTCCAGGCTGTATACAACAGGAAACTATAAAACATATTCATGCCATACTAAAATGTTTGGAAACCTACTGCAGCAGCATAGATGGCAATGTTTAAATAAGATGTTATGTTAAGATGTTATTAAATAGAAAAGCAAGGAACAGTACAACAAAAGCTTCATGTGTAAGTAATCAAATCTTTATCTTTCTTGCTAGAAATGCTGAAATTTAGTAGATATTTTAAAAATTAAAAATGTTAAATAGAGGCCAGTCCGAGTGCCACACCAAAATATAGATTGTAAACCGAAAGAGTTAATAAAACTTCAAATGTTTTTAAGGAATTAACCGCTGCTTCTGTTAAAGTGAGAACTAAAATATGACACAGACATATGCATAAGATAGGAAAATATTTCTTCATGCAAACAGTATAGTCATCTTAATTCATAATTTAAGAATGCCTATTAAGAGGAGGAGGCAGCGGCTGTATACATCGGGGATATCCTGTATAACTGTGTGCTCAGCTTTATTTCAGTCTGTGATTGAAACATATGAAATGCTAATTTTTATATAGGTAGTTGCGGTTTGAAATTTATATGCTATGTACAGTAGTATGTGGACATACTAATTGGTAATTCCATATCCATTTTGAGTAAAAGAGGAAAAACCACGATGCTGAGCTTGACTACACTATCAGTAGTGTTAGTTAAACTAGAGAGAGATAATATGGAAATAAAACTCATAAATCCCACTGTGTAGAAGAGGGATAAGATACTCATTTAGTTCTTCCCCCAAATCAATTAATTCTTAGTAACAACACAGTGATTATTAAAACAGCCATTATTGTAAGTCTAAAATGAGAGTAATTGCGGAGGTTTGATGTAAAGCTAAGAAACGAGATGTTAATCTGAAACGAAGAGTTTAAATACAGAATTATGATATACTTGGCTTTCTGTAGTGTAGCTGTCAGGCTCGGGCAGTTCGCTGGTCAATAGTGACATTCTGTGTGTCAGTGAACAGAGTCTCCTGATACCTTAACCTGCAGTTCACACATTACTGAAGCTCCAACTGTCGAACATTTAAGTCCCTTGGTACTACTGCAGCTTCCAGACTCTCCTGACTGGCTCATGTTTCATTCTTTGGCAATTTGCCCTAATGATATCCCTCAGGAGCTTTCAGACCCTCTTCTTTTCCATATTTAATCGTGTTATATTAATCCGAGTGCTGAGCAAACTACGCTGCACAAATTGTAATTGTCTGTGATTTCTGCTGCAATTGTCTTATAATTCCTTTTTTTCATTTTTAGTGTAAAAATACATGTACAAAATTGCAGCATAATTTTTGTTTACAAGTCTAAACGTCCAAGACGGCCGGGGTGTGAAAGCTTTAACTGCTGATCTGTTCCACAAAGAAGGGGTTTTCCCTGTAAAATCCATAATGTTTTAGCGCTTGCTGTATGGACAGGATTTACATTTTATTTTTAGCTCTTTATTACTGTAAAAGTGCATGTCTAATAAACAGCACTATTGTCAAGTTAACCTCAGATAGTAATTTTGTTGTGATATAAAAGATTAGGACTGTCTTGTCTTTTTACGTAAGCTTGGTGTCTTCTACACGGGACATTCCCTTTATTTCATTTATTTATTTACTTATTTAAATGAGGTTTGTGGTGTTTTATGTGCTGGATATAGGCTACCTTACTTTGTACACAGTCTTGATTTTTTCTCATTCTGTTGTAACTCTGTGGCTGCATATTAAAATAAGTAAATTTGAATGACTCCCTGATAGCAAAGTAGTATTTGATAGGTCAAATTTGAATTCTTTAGATATTGCAGATTATTTTGTTCACTCGAGGGGTGAACTTGACCACGTTTCTAATCAATTCCATAATTTTTGGGGGGGGGAGGGGTGGTGTGGGGGTGGTGGGTTTTTGTTTGTTTGCTTGTTTGTTTTAGAAAAACAGGAATGTTCATTTTGAATGGCAAGCAGATCGTAACACCTCCTTTCTTAGTCAAGGAGTCCTTCATTTTCTGGTGATGCTAGTGCCAGACTTGTCAGTCCCTGCTGTGGGAGGGGAGTTTTGGAAAATTGTAATAAAGTTGCTTTGCTATCACAGGGAATATTCACTTCAGATTTTTTTTAAAGGTAATTTTGAAATCAGGTTAGTGACACTAAGCTGAGGTTAGTGCTCTTCTGTGGCTTCATGCAGGTTCAGGTCAATTCCAGTTGTTCCAACTAGCAGAAATGTGGACCAAAAAACTCCCCTGAGGCTTTCCCTCTCAGCAGAGCTGGGTGCATGTCTAGAAGTTAATTTAAGATTTTGTATTTTCTTTTTATTCCTATTTTTTGTTGCCAATTCTGTGTGTGTTTTTATTTTTAGTTAACTGCTTGTGTTCACGCGTCAGCTGCATTGTTATATCCAATGTATTGGCAACACATTTACATCCCAGTGCTTCCTCCACATCTTCTGGACTACTGCTGGTAAGACAGCTAACCTGTTATCCCTGTTTCTGAGATTCTTACCTGTCTTGTAATTCTAACTGATGAAAACACTAACTACTTAAGTGACTAAATATACAGGATCCGGTTTGTGAAAGCACCTAAGCCAATGCTTAAATGATGACTTGAATAGAGATATTTGAGCATGCCTTTACATGGTGTTTGAATTGGTGCCTTGAATTACAGTGCTGATTACTATCAATGCAGCATATAGAATCATGTTTATAACTGTTCCTGTATTATTGTTACAGAATGCATTGAATAATTTAAATGTGACTGTGTTACGGTTTTCCTTTATTGGACGTCTATTTTAACTTGAGATAAATGATACTGGTAAAAACATTCAGAAAAAACCTGATCGTTTTTTCCAGAATCAACTGTGAGTAGGCATCAGTGTTTTCCTTAGGTCTATACAATGATTTAATATTTGTATTTTAGACTCAGCCAGGTTCAGGATACTATCCAACACCTTCCTGAAAGAGCTTAAAATCTCCTTTTGGTACTTCCAAAATTTTCATTGTAAGAATTCTGCTGCTCCTGACATGTTTCTGTTCACATGACAGACTTTGTGGTTTTGGCAAATTTTTAAGTTGAACAAGAAAGAATCACTTTTTGAGTCACTTCTGATCCTTCAAGGGATGATGTTTCCATGTGCCTGTGTTTCAAGATTTCAGGCTAAGAAGAGATCTACTTTCTTTTATTCATAGTAGTGCCAGAGATACCAATGAGAGTTTCCATTAAAGGATCTAAACCAGGAGTATCCATCCCTGGAGACTTTCACTTTAACTAGACCCTATGGATCTGTGGTGGAAAAATGAACCATTTAAAGCCATTTTAGAGATAGGAATTATTATTATATATAAAAACCAAGTCTGATGCCTACCAACATAAGTCTATGTTTCTGTTATTCATGTTTTTCTTCACAGAAATAAATTATGCTTGTATGTTTGCTGGGCTTTATGTTTTGTTTCTTTTCTGGAACCTGTAAATATTGATGTTCCATTGAACTCCACCCAGTCTGTTGAACTTCTTGTCTTCAAAGAAATTCTCATTATGTTTCCTTAAGTCTCTCTGATAGTTTTTGCTCAAGTTTACAATATTTTCTCATGGTATATCTTTTTCTCTAGTAGTTCCTATACTTAATGTGGATATTATTTGTTGTTTTTAAAAAGAAATAAAATATTCTTCTCCCACTCCTCCCTGTACTTTCAGCTATAGCTAAACCTTTCATCTTTAACGATAGTTTTCTTTTGAAGAAACTCTGTCCTAATTGTTTTTCCTCCTAGCTTTGATAAAATGCACCAAGGTGGGGGTAGAACTTGGATGTATTTGTTTAGTTTTTGTATTACTTGAGCTTACCTCCAGAAGCTTTGTAATTTCTTCAGTATCATCCGTAAATGCTGTTCTCAGAAGGTAGATCAACACCTTTATTCAAGCTGTACCCTGCAGAGTGCATTCTGAATACTAGAAGATTTTTTTATTTCCCCTTCTAAGCACAGATAATGTTTCCAGAAATAATAATGTTAGATGCTGTACACAGCTTCTCGTGATGATGATAATAGTTGAGATTCTAGGTCATTATGGCGTGACCTGGGAATTTTTTTTACTCATTAAAAAGAAGCATGGAGTTTCTTAAACTTGTAAAACTCATTTATAATCTCTTTTTCACAGTAGTACAATAGAGTGGGGGGAAAAAAAAGTTTCCCCTTTTTAGAGATGTTCAAATGGAAACAAAGTTCATGAAAGGAAATGCACAATTGATGAATTTACCACAGTAACTATAATTCAGACCTTTCAGCTCAAATTTTTGTATATTTACATTTCTCTCTCTGATCTTGTCTGGTTTGAATGGTTCTTTTGTGAGACAGTTTGGAATAGTGTAATAAAACCACATAAAATACTTAGCTTTCCTCATGTTTTGGTATATTAACAGTAAATAAGTGTTTTACTCATAGGTATATAATATATCAAGTTAGAAAACCTTGATGAATTCATAGGGTCAAAGTTTATGCTAGGCCAGACCTAGCTGGGCAGTCCAAGAGGATCATGTCAATTTAAAATTAGTAAAAAAGAATTAGAAAATTATTTTATATTTTCATTTTTTATGTCATTTTGATAGAGTAAAGTTCTTTTTATGAAAGTGCCTTTTTTCCTTTTAGCTTAACATGCATTTTCATATCTAGAAACTACATTGTCATTGCTTCACTTAGACTTTGTAAGGATGTCTCCCATGAACTCTCATTTTATTAGTGTTGTTCTGAAATGGTAGTCAAATGAATCAGGTAGGTGATTATAAGTTTGATAATTTTGTTCTTTCCAAGGGTGAAAGGCCATTTGTAAATAAAGATAAAATACATTTAGATCTACTAGTTTAAATATAGGCCCTGATTCTGCAACTTTTTCTTTGCATGTTAATCATCCACTGTATTTTGAGAGAAATCCACATTTTTTTTTTAATGAGTTGGACTATATATCTTCAAAATTTCATAAAGATAAATGATACAATTCTGTGGGGGTTAAAATTTGATAAATTACATAAACTGCCTAGCTGGTACATTTTGTGAGCATGAAAAAAGAAAAGTGTATCTTTGAGTAAAACAATTAAATCTATATTAAAAAAATATTTAAATTCTTCCACTTGCCTTTTTTAATCAAAAAGTCTCTTAGGTTCTATCAGGCAACCTGATAATACAGACTGGATTTAGACATAATGTAACAGACGTTCTTAAATTAGTCCAAACCCACCGGTACTGAGCATCTGTGTGAACTGTAATGACATTAGGATTGGCCAGGTTATGAGTACTTGCAAGGTCCAGCGTGTGAACATACTGTGTATTTATTTACTTCAGGATGGTTTTGCCCCCCCGCCCCCCATAGCTTATCTCAGCCTTGAATTCCATTTTGAGAACTCCAATGTGAGAATTGGAATAACCATCCAAAAAAGAAGAGATAATAAATTTCTTCTAAAAGATAGCAAAATATTAGGCAGTGAAAGTAATTTTCATTTTAGCTCTAGAGGAAGAAAATACAGTGGAGGTACTAAAAAATTGAGTTCTCTGTTTTAAGAATTGATTTCTCTTCTACATTTAAGTAAGCAAAAAGATACTGTGGCACTCAGCCCAGTAGGTGGCTGGCTTTCAAGAAAGCTTTCCCCAAAATTAAGTTTGATCATTGATATAATAATTACATTTGAATAAAATTAATTTTTGCAAAGGAGATAGTTTGCCAGGAAATTACACAGAAATTTGATGAAATTAGCTAAGTCACTTACATAAGAATGTATGACAGTTTTGTCTGTGGATGATAAAGCATCTGTTCTGCTGATGCTCTGTTAAGGATATAATGCAATTAGAAAATTCAAGTTACAATTGCAACATGTCTTTTTATGAGATTTGGTCTCTTCTGAATTGGGATATATGCTCGCCTGTTTTTGTGAGAATAGGACTATTATTTTCCAATGAACTTGCATGTTTTGCATAACATAGTAGTTATTTTAGGCAATGATGCTGTAGATTAATATTTTTGGTAATAACATGCATAAACAAGAGAAAAACTATACAGCAGCTCCCAGTAGTATAGTAAGCAATTTCATGTCCATATTACAAAACTCTGCTGTTAAGGCTTCAGAATCCAGCAGTAATAAAATTCATTCTTTGCTGAAAATGATCAAATTGACTTTTATTTCATGCATTTTCAAGATGTTTATCTAATTAGCTTTATACCTTTTTTCTGTTAACTTCTCAAAATTGAAATGATGTAGCTGTTGCTTTGTTCTATAGAAAAGAGCTGCATGCTACCCTTTCTAATGACAGATTTATTAATGGAGCAAATCATCAGCTAATTTAAGTCAGTACGGGCCTGGTGAAGCTGCTAGCACAGTGTCAGTGTACAAGAAAACAAGCCTGCATAAAATGCATACATGATATAGTGCTTGTTTTCACCATAGTTTCTCCATTTCACGTTATTTGTAGTGCTAAGATACCCTGATGTGATGAACCTGAGGATCTATTTTGCTGCATATTCAGCAGAAGAATCCTCAGTTACGTGTCAGTCATTCTCATCAGCTTGGTTAAATATGTTATGTAGTATAAAGCGTTCTTAAAACTGTAGAGTGTTTTAAAGATGTCTGATTTCTCTCTGAATATAAATGTGTGTCTGCTCTGGAGTGACACCCAGTTACGATTCCATGTAATTTGGAATTATGATTCCAAATGTGTTTAGTCCACAAAGGCATAAGGCCTTAGCCTGGATGAAGTCGTCAGGAGATACTAAAATTTTTCAGTATTAGGCTAAGAAAAAGATATGTGGGAACACAGGGGTCTCCGTTTCCCTTTTTGGAAGCACCATTGCCTGGAAACCTTAAGCCATGATAGTTTGCAGTCTCAGCAAACCTTTATTTTGATAGCATAAAAATGATGAAAGCTTGTTTTGGCCTCGGGCGGTCTGGGTTTTGGGTTTGGGTTTTTGTTTGTTTGTTTGTGGTGGTTTTTTTGGTTGTTTTTTTTGGTTGTTTTTTTTGGTGGTTGTTTTTGCATTGATCCTCTCCTGTAGGACATTGTTAATGAGAGTAGTTGGCTAATCCATAGTGTGTACAGATTTTTCTAAAACTAGCTGCAGTCGCAGGCAGATGAGAATTGCTACTTTTGCTCCCAGAGTTGGGACCGAATCGATGAGGCCATGTGAACTGATGCAGTGAAGCCTCTACCTGGGCCTCAGGAAGTCAATTGCCAGTTCATGCCAGTGGCTCAGATCTGTGATTGAATTAATACAGTGGAAGAAATTATTGTATGTCGGCTGTCTGTGAAACTTTGGATAAGTCATCTTACCTTCCATTTATTTTTCAGAGATTATTTTTATTCAGTTTTTTTCTCTCTGGTCCCTTAGTACTTCATTTCCTGCTGAGTTGCTTAAACCAGTGTATCTATTGCTCACTTCTCCGGAGTGAATATTTTTAGTAATCTCACAGTACCCAGAAGTGTGGTGATGGTTGCTGGATGTTTTTTCCCTTCAGTGCTGGATACTGAGTATATTCTTGGTCCAGTGTTGCCAGAACACACTCACTAGAGGAAGAAACAGAAGATTATAGGAAACCATGATAAATTAGCCTGACTAATTCAGCTTCTTGCTTGCATACTGCAGGAGGTCTCACTCCAGAGGCTTTGTGTGGATATTTGTTTTATTTTGAGAATATAGTTCCTTGTCTTACTCAAACTGGAAATGAGAAGTTTACTATCTTGAGTTAAATAGGATATTATACAGCTTCCAAATGGTCACCAGGAAGGGTTTCAGAAGCACATTCAGAACCAAAACTGGTGTTAATGATGTTCGCATTACAGTGTGGGGCTGTCAGCTGGTACCATATTCTTCAGAACAGTGTTTTAATTTTAAAACCATTGTAGTTCTAGAGACAGACCACCTTTGGAACATCCACTAGGTTAGCTCTGCCATGCAGTATGGTTGGTTATTGAAACTAGGTATGGCAAGCCAGTTAGCAAGCTGTATGCGTCTTCTCGCTCATACTTCCAGTTAGGAACAGCATCCTTTATTTTGTGGTTGTCTTTACTGCAGAGTAAAAAATACCAAAACAAAATTTCCTTTGTCTAGTCAAAATTTCAGTAGCAACTGTGTTCATTTAACTACAGGTTTAAACAGTGGATGTTAACTAAGGACTGTATGTGCCAAGATTGTGAATATTTTTTAATTTTTAAATATTTTTTGTTCCACAAAATGTTGCAGTAGTTGGTACTTAAAAGTTGATCTTTTCCACTGTTTTTCTTCAGTGCACCGATGCCTTACCTAATTGGTGTCCATTTAAGCTTAATAGAGGTAAGTTTACTCTACACTTCTACGTACTTGTAAGCATAAGGTGTGTGTGCCATAAATGATAATTTTAATGGAAATACTTCAGAAAGAATCCCTGTTTTTTAACATACAGAATTACAAAATTTAATCTTTGGATGCTTTACAAAGTAAAAAAAGTCTCTCTCTGAAATCTTACTTTTGAAGTGTTCTATGGAGACATGTAAGCTCTACATCATGATTTGTTTCTGTGTCTTTTTAATAGTTTAATGATAGCTTTTTTGCTGCCTTTTTTAGTGGTTCAGCAACAGATTTTCCCAATAATAAGAGCAGTTAAAATTTATTTTGGAGTTGCCATCAATAGGTATTCGGCACCATTCTGATTTCCCAGATAATTTATGTTTCTGTCCCTCTCAAAATCTGAGTAAGATTCATCCCATGACACTCCTAACTATTAATTTAAAAACGAGTATTTTTTTGCCAAAACCCAAGAGGTAGCTTTTTCAGATTTGAACATACAAGAAAACAATAGAACTCACCTGCGCGGTAAGTAATAGCTGGGTCATAAATAGCATTGCCTCTTTCCATAACTGTTTGATGACACCATTAAGCCTACATCTGTAGTCTGATTATCATGCAGAGTAGATAATTGATTTGGGAACTTTATTTGATTTACACTTCTGCTAAAGCAGTTTCTAAGGATCAATTCACATTTACTAAGCTGATGAGGTAGGTACTCCCCCACTCTGAGCGATTAGCACTTTTGTGTTTCCCAAAAGAGCCTTCTATCATATATACTTCTAAACTCTAGGCATAGCCTTCTGTTTTCTCGAATCAGGTTCATATGATCTGCATACATTGATTGTAATATCTTGACTAGGATCTTTTTCCTTATTCCATCAGAAAATAATGGAACAGAACAGCTTGCTCTGAAAAAAAGTCACTGAATTCCTTCTGGAATTATTTCCTGGACCACAGTATTATGTATTATTATAGGACCACATAGAAAAGAGTTCTATCATTCTTTCCTGAAAGGAACAAATTGTTTAATTCTTAGCTGCTAGTCAAGTTCATTGCTGAAAGATTGTTTCATCCATTCTTATAATACTAGTAAACATCATATGCCTGGGACTTATATAAATCTGCAAATAGTTACTTAGTTTTCTCTGTTTTTCATCTGATTATATGATTAGCATCCTATCTGATTTTCACAAGTGAGAATGAAACTTTGTTATAAGATATGTATAGTTCCAATATATTTAACTGTGTTTTGTATAAATCTTGGTTTTCAAGAATTCATTTCTTGAATACGCTTGTATTTCAGAGATTATTAATATAACCTTACTGTTTGATGAAGAGGAAGTGTTTTTAAAAGCTACTCTGAATCCTGCATCTAATTCACAAATCCTACATGTAAAGCTCAATATGTTGTCTTTGCCACTATTGTCCTTTGTAAAATCATTTGTAATCTAGTACATTATAATAAAAATATACTTTGGGAGGATGCCATAGTAAAATGCTTTTCCACGATGTTTTTTTTCCCCTGGTAACAGAGAGTAAAAAATAGATCACTGGAAGATGTGGTTTTGCTAAATGTTGACACAAACACTCTAGAAACCCCTTTCAATGACCTGAACAACCTACCTGGTGAAGTGGTGAGTCTTACAGATATTTCATTCTTTCCTTCTTATATAGATGCTTGAATTACTAGTAGTTATTCTTGCCTGGTTTTGCTGACTGCTATAAAAGGAATAAGGGGTGAAAAGCACCAAGTGTAGACCCCTATATTTGAGATTTTTGCCTTTGTGACAGTTGAGGAGATGTTGAATGGAACATCATATTCCTTATTGTAAAAGTAGGATCATAATTATAAAGCTAGCTGCATTCATTAGGCATAGCTCCTTTAAACGCAAGAGTCTCTTCATCTCATCTTAATCATTATATTACAAAGTAGGCATTTCTGTCTGCCTAGTGGCATGTCTTGCAAAAGAATGAGAGAGTTTTTGAAGGCAAAAAGAAGAAGGGGGCCAATTATCGGCTTCTGCTTCCCTGCCACCTGCCAGTGCTTTCCTTTTAATTAATGATCTGATGGCACTGGTCAATATAATAAGAAATGCTTGTACAGTTGGGGTCAGAAAATTCAGGCTTTGATCTTCTTCAACTTTCTGAAACATTTATTTGTTTTCTCTAAATTATTTCAGTTTTATTTTAATCTCTTCTATCCTGCTGAGGGCTGCGTGAATGAAAACCTATACTGTTTGTCATTTGCTTTGGCAGAGCAAAGACTGCTTACTTAGAATTCTATTTGTAAATTAAACTGCAAACCCAGTTTGTCATAAAAGACATCTGATCCTTTTGAAATGACGAAAACTGTCTTTTGTCTGTAAAGGATGATAAATTAAGTGCCAGTTCTTTCTGGACTTTGATCTTGCAGAGTGTGTTCCCCTCTTTTTTTGTTTTCCTTATTGCCTATAGGGGAACATACTCTGTATATCATCTTAAATAGTCACAAAATTCACTTACCTTGTTTTTCCCAATAGAGCTCTATTGGGGAATAGAGAAAAAAAGGATATCATTGTGAAACCACTGTTTTGATTATTTAGTTATAGATGCTCAAGCTATCACAAATGGTTGTCAAGACAAAGAATTTTATATTAAAATGTGAAATCAAAGAGTTACATTTTCTGAAATTGTAAATCATAAAAACAAACTGACTTAAAGTAAGGCGCTGTGGTAGCTTTTGTTTTTGTTGGTAATTTGTATATATTTGGTACAATAGAAATCAAACTCATGATGATTATATTAATGTCAGTTCCCTTTGATTTTAATGATGTTAAAATCTAGACTTTTTACAGATCATCTGGTCAGTCTTTCTTTTGACTCAGCATCAACTATAGTTCAGAAATGTAAAAGACTGTATAAAAATTATTCTGATGTTTTGTGGTTTTACTTTAGTGTATGAAAAAGTATACACACACACACGTATATATAATAATTTTGACTGTACTCTATCATTCAAGAGTATAACAAGTTAAGTAAAAAATGAGTCATTTTCTGGTGTGTCAGTAATTTTAACTGACCTTGTATTCAGTGAATAAGATTGAGGTTATAGTGTCATGGAGGTACATACCTCTTGTCAAATAATAGCTAGATGTAGAATTGAGAATTAGGCATAATTTTCCATAAGATACTGGAGTTGTAGCTGGAGGTCCTTTGAACAGTAAAAATGGGTATTTGTGCAATGAGAAGGATTTCTCATGTATTTTACAGATGCATATCAAAATGATTTCTAAATTAGTAGGCTAGCATGAAGAAAATAAGGAAACAGATCTTCATACTTTTAGAAGTAAATTCTCCCCCAGGATATATGCATGTTACTATTATTAATGTTAATGAAGGTTATCCTCGTGTACAGACTATACAGCAGACTTAAAATATTTCATTCTGTATCTAATATAGAACAAAACAGAACAACTGTGTTTATGCAAAATATACTTGCAGAATTTGAGGATTTTATAATGAAGCCCATCTCTTCCTCTACTTCAGTCTGTAAAGCACTTTAATTAAAACAATTTAATGGAAAACATACACAATTATAGTTGGAAAACCTGGAAACAAAAGGCACAGACAGTGTCTGTGTTTGGCTCATAAAATGACGAAATGCTTGTCCTTCTTTTGCATTCATGAGGGGCAGTGGAACTGCTAACATCTTGGTTAGAAAGTATAGGACATAGGAGTGTAGAGTCAAAATGCTGAGTTAGACTTAAAACATTAAAACAAATATCAAAGATACTTACATATGTGAAGCATTTTAACCTATATAAATAAACCTCATAAGCATACATGTAGAGGTAGTAAAAAGTCTGATGAAAAAATGAAATGAGTACCTCTGAAGGGTGTTAAAATATAATGAAGAACTGAAAATATAAAAGAAGCTCTAGTCTTACTATCCCTTTCAAAAAATGATTCCGGGTTGGTTAACAGCCTAACAAAAGAAATGCAGTACTTTCAAAGAGTTTTCTAAAACTGTTTCTTGTGTCTGAAGGAAATTAATTATTTTCTTGATCAATAAGCCTGATGATGTCCTCACAGCATAGGTATTTAATAGTTTACCCATTTATAAGTAATAAGTCTATTAAAATGCTCTGATTGTGAATTTTTTCATGATAAATTTAAGATTGAAAAAACATTATTATATAGCATTGTCTAATAAACTGTATAATAAATTAACTGAGGTTTAAAGGCATTTTAAAATCATTCACTTAAGCATTTAAATTATAGTTACAGGCTAGATGACTTTCTATGCATGTGAACTCTATTATTCTGTCAGACTGACCAGTGGTCTTGACTGTGCAAAGGTCAGTGGTCACAGTTGTCCTGAATTACCAGTTCTTTTTTCATGTGGACCCTCTGCTGCGTTGCATGCTGTAATCTTCTTAATGGCTTCATTCCAATATTCACACATAATATTTTAGATTTATTGACTGTTAGAAATACTACCATGCCAGTAGCAGTTCCGCTACTCCTAAGGTATTTAAAATTGGAAAAATAAATCAGTGCAAGACTTTCAGGAATCCTTTGTTTTCTTAGAGGGGGGGAAAACCCTCTTTTTCCTCTCTTCTGACAAGAACACTTGTTTTTAAATTTCATCATTTCACTGTGAATTTGTCTATTATTTTTTAATTAAAAAAAAAAAAGAAAATAAGTAGTTACTTCTGTGGGAGTCAGTTTCCTAATACAATAATACTTATACCACCACTTTAATAATGTAAGACATTAGAAAAAGAACATTTGTGATGTATATAAATTAGTGGAGTCCATAGACACAAATTAATAAACTTAGGGCCTGATCCTGCAATACCTGCTTGCAGTTAACTGACAAAAGGACTACTCCTTTGCTCAAATTTGAACACTTTCAAAAAAGGCTTGGCAAATTGAGGGCATCGCTTTTAGCAACCAAGTCTTACTGACTTCTCCATGGACTAAGCAGAACTTTTATAAATATGATCTTCAGAAAACAATAGGCTTTATAGGCTTTTAGCATCTTCTGAGGTTGTTAAATATTGTTAACTGTAAAATCTACAGAGCTGTTGAAAGATGCGTAGCCTTTGTAGCGTGTGGTGCCTACACACTGATGCAATACAGAATCTAAATGGGTTTTTAAGAGTTTTAGTTTTGAGATTTCTGAAGTCACAGGATTTTAACACCGTAAATTGGGTTTATGAACATTACTGTTCTAAAAGTAGCATTTGAGAAGTAGGCTGTAATTCACATAGAAAATTAAAGTTACTTTATAAAACAATTACTGGGACTGCAAATTATTTCTGAAAATACAATGATGAATAGTACTGTTAAGAAGTTATGGTCAATGTGTAACAATGCAACTAAAAGGATTTTATGTAAAATTTAAATCTCATAATTTACTATGTTTTCCCATCAGAAAATAGCCAAAAATATTACTAATATATTTTAGAAACTCAGAGCAGTCAGCGGTGTTTGCAGTGTTATGAGGCAACTATTTATTTTGAATAAATTCTTAGAGTTGAGATTCTGTAGAACCTCGATATAGTTTTAGAAGCTAGAATGTGAGATTGAAAAGTACAACTAGTTTTAAAAACATTTGCAATTCAGTAGTTGTTCTCATCTAAAGGAGTATTTGTGATTAAATGCTGGAGGGCTATCTTAGATGCCAAAATCCTGTGTGTGTAGATAGTATCAAATAAGTAGAAGTGCTTTCATTAACAATATTGATTTAAATAATATCAGATTCCATTTTGTTGTGTTTGTTTTGTTTCCCTTCTCTGCCATTTTCTCTCACTTTCTAGCTGTTGAGAGTGGGCTGACTTTTATAGTGACATGATCTGATAGGGAACATCAAAAAATAGATTAAAGCATAACAACTGTCACTGGTACCAGAGAAATACATGGCTGTCTTTTTTTTCAGAGATCTGGTAGTCGTTGGGAACCCCAGTGCATGGTTCTGCATTTCTCAGGCAACAAATGTTTGGAATACTTCTATATGTGCTTAAATTTATATGTGTGCTTAAGTTTTTGCAGGAGCAAAGGCTTTGATTAATAGTTACATGATTTTATTCATTTACTCTTTAACTTTATATGCAGTTCTATTCTTCCACTCACATGGATATTGAAAAGATATTAATCATGCTTTGTTTCTGATCAGATAGTTATATTTTAGGAATCTTAGAAAGGACATAGAGTGACTGTTTTTAAAAATGACACCTTTTGTTTTAATGACCAACACAATATTTCTCTACATTTTAGATACACTTAATTACATATGAAAGCAAATTCACATATCAATCTCATGACTTTCTAAATCTCTGAAAAACTATTCTATTGATATAAATCTTCCTGAAGCTCTCATTGCTCTTCATTGGTAGTGTTTAGCAGTCCAATGAAGTCACCTTCCTATGAGAAGCCGTTGCTACGAGAAGATAAAAACAGTTTGCTTCTGGTGTAAATTAATAATACCATTTCTGAAACGGATCACTGGTGTCTTCCAGAAATAAATTTTAACAGCATTCTAACCCCTGTGGTTTGTTTGTTTGCAGTTCTTTATTTTTAAACTTTGTAAAAGGCTATTTCTGTTTAAGGCATGCAAAGAAGGGGAGAAATCTTAATCCTAGATAGGCAGAGGGATTAAAGCATGTATGAGGAAGAGATTTTGATAAAGATGCTGCTTGGTATTTTTTTGGCTTGGTGTGTATTTTCTTTGAAATTTTAAGACCTATTAATATTGTCACTCAAAGGGGTCTCACACTTCCTTGGTTTTAGGTTCATGGATTTAAGCACTCACAATCCTGCTGTGCTCCAAGTCCTTCTAAGTAGTTCAAAGCACCGAGTCTCTTATCTATACTTACTGTATTGACTGTAATAACTACTTTATCACTCTATCTTTGATTAAACTGTGAAACTGGGAGAATTTGCCAGCAACCTACCCAAATGCTCAACTTGGGTTTGCCATCCATCACTCGGTGGTGGGATAACCCTGAGAAAGCACTGTCCCTCTGCATGCATGTTTGCTGACCTCAGCTTGTGGGAAACCTAGGCAGGTCTCAAGGGTGCTTCAAGTGTGCTTCAGCCAGGATTTCAGTTGTGAAGATTGGGAAATCAGGACTGTGGCCCACATTATCTCTGCAGGCTTTTTCTTAAGAGCACTGTGCTCCCAGTACTTCTGCAGAATAATCTAATAGAGTTCTTTCTGCCTTTTAGCATTGCCTCCTGAGAGAAACAGAAGTTGGAGGAACTTTTTTTGAGCTGCAGCATAGCCTTTCTTAGGCTCGAACTCCCTCCAGAATGGCAGCACAAAAATGTGCATCTGACTTAACACAGTTCTGTGCTGGAGAACCCACCTCCAAACTGCCAGCCCATTGGGATGGTCTTAATATTGTTGAACTAACAATGTACCAACACTGCAGCGAAGCAGATTTGTTACTTTCTATTGTTTTTTAACACATTTTTGCCTAAAGCATCCTGTTCATTGATTTATGTTAGGGTACACAATGCCTGCGAGAACTGAGGAAATCAGAAAATACTTTTTTCCTTCACATCCCCCACTTTGTCCTATAATTCCTCTGCTCTACATCACCTTTACCCTCTTTCTTCTCTTACCCTATCTTATCGTCTGCCATAATTTCCCCAAACTCACAAGGTATAATTTAGAACAACATACATCTAAAAAATGTAGAGATTTTTCTCCCTTTTCCTTCTCTTGTATTTAGAAGTTGCTTTGTCCGTCATGACACAGACAACATTTTAAGGTTGACAATTCTTTTTTGACCTCATGTTACTGCTTTTGTTTTAGTGAAACTGAGCTAATGTTGATGGGCAGATTGCCCTTATACAAAGGATATATACGTTTATTTCCCCCAGAATTAAATAAACCTTATTTTTTAATAACTCTAAAATAATCATAGAGTACAGAACAAAAAAACCCCCAATCTAAGACACACATTTATTTTTTCAATCTTGAACTGCTTAACTGTTTTTTGTACTCAGACTTGTACTTCTTTTTTTTTCTGTTTGGGTATAAAGAAAAAACGTAAATGAGCCTTGGTGTATGCTTTCCATGGGCTAAACGAATCAGGCTCTAAACTTTTATCTAGATCTATGGAGCTTGGCTATAAATTGAAAAGATCACAGCTATGGGGAAAAGACCTATACTGTAAAGGCCTTTCTGCATAGATTATGAACATCATAACTCAATAATTTTTTTTCAAAACTATAGTTATAATTGGACCCAATGGGGGTCTCTCTCTTTGATCAGATCACAGTAACTGTGACTTTACACTGGAAAATGTCACTACTGTGAAGGTTTATCACCTGTAGAGCTGGTCTTTTCTCTGATGCCATGTTCAGTACTCATTAGCATTATTCAAAGTTTAGTTGTTAATTAGGTTGACACTTCAATTACAATCATCATCTACAAGAGCAGTCAGGACTGCTTGCATAAAGAAACAGAAAGATACTCATTCTTGCATATATTTCTAAAAGAATGAAAGCTGTTTTGGTGATAGTTTGTGTTTATAATGTTCTGTTTAAAGAGTAACTCTGAGTGTTATGTTGTATAGTATTTAGTGACTTAAATATTGCTTTATTGGATATATTGCAACACAAAGAGATGTAGAAACATGTATTCAGCATAACTGAAGTTGACTTACTTCTCCAGATGTCCCTCATGATGAAAATTAGGAGAGTATAGACTATAACTGGGTGTAATTCTACATCTCTTTAAAGAATACTGTAATAATTCCAGAATTATATGATTTTTTTTCTCCAACGTATCTCCAAGTAAGGGTAATCTAAATTAAAATTTCTGGGTTTTTTTTTTTCTAATTCTATATAATCAGTGACTGCCATTTGCCAAGTAAAAAAAGACAGACCTCCTTAAAAAAAAAGTCAAGCACTAAAATAAAAATGGTCTTTTTTTTTTTTTTTAAACTACAGTTGTCTCCTCAGTGTTGTTCTTATTTTTTTTCCCTTTCATGTGTTTTATCTTTGTGGACAATTCTAAAGGCAATGTAGCACTGAATTTACACAAGCTTTTTTCAGCTATTTGACAGTGGTAGCAGCTACTCCCATAGTGCATGAGAAATGATGTAAGATAGTAATTTGACTTAAAAAAAAAAAAAAACCAAACCAATCTAAAACTGAATAGTAAGTGACCATTAAGAGTCCTTAAAAATAAGCCTTCATAGCATAAATAAAAAATATCCAACTGTCTTCATTCAAAACAAGTAGGTACATGTCATGATTGAGGAAAAAAAAATATGCAGAAAAGGGGCTCACATGCATCTTACTGTAAAATAATTAAGCTTATTTATGTCAAGAGGCCTTGGGAAAAAAAGAGAGCATAAACCAATTTGCATTAGCACTCTACCATCATCCCCTGCTTTCATTTCAATTAACAGACCAGCAGGTGCTCTTTGCAGTTAAAAAGATAAGCTATCAAGGAGGAGGATGAATTTTTGGCTGACCTGTAGACACCATGGTTTGCCTGCTGATTGGGTTCATACCTCTCTGTACCAATTTCTGAGGTGTTAATTTAACTGTTCCGCTCTGCCATGCAGGTCTCGGCCTTGAAAAATAAACTGAAAAAGCAGTCTACAGCTACGGGTGATGGAGTAGCCAAGGCCTTTCTTCGGGCACAGGCAGCACTGTTTGGATCCTACAGAGATGCACTAAGATACAAACCAGTAAGGCTTCTTCTTTACAACTTTTTTTCCTTAATTTATAAGAGCATGGTCTCATTCTTTGTAAGGAAAATATGAAATTTTTTACCCCAGTCAGAAACATTTCAAAGAGAATGTTTTAAATCTTACTCTATGCTAAGGATACATTGGCAATTTAGAAGACACTACCACCTCCTGACAGTGAGTTGTACTGAAAAATAAATACTCATCCAAAGTTGGCTGTTTTCTTATTTGTATCACTCTTATAGTTTATTTAGTATAAAATTAGATTGTATTAATGAAACTACTTACACACAACTCACCTGGTTTAATGTGGTGAAGAAGTGAAGAGGCTTTCAGACTCCATCATTTTTCACTGTGCCGGTCTAGAGACTTTGCTGTGTTTGAGGCCAGAAGCTTGTTATTTCCTAGCAGATGCCAGATGTGAGTCAAACATGTATCTCTTCTGTTATGCACTCATCTTGATTCCACTGATAAGTTGGAGAAATGAAAACCCATTTCATCCCATCAGAACTTCAGAATTTGTATTTCTCACGTTTTGCTGGTACTCAGTAGATTATGTGTTATGGGCTTTCATCCTTTCTGGTTTATGAGGGTGGCACATATTGAGCCTATTAGAGATAAAATAATTTATCAGAAACAACTTAGAGATTCATTTCATCTGTCAGTCCAGATTCTTTTACTATGGTATTTGCAAACTACTGATAGCAGTTCCATTTGATAAAATGCATTGAGATGACATTGGCTGAATCAGATTCCGAGGATATGATGTTTGGTGGTCTGATGGATTCAGATAAATATTGAGATTTGATAGGAGAAAATCACTTGACACTTGAGGCGTCAAGTTTGTAAAACGGGTGGGTGTGTGGGTACGTGGGTGGATGCTTATTTGGGGGTGAGGAGGGCCGTGTGTTCTGTTGCTGGGTAAGGAAGTATGTGGTATTCCTTGGATACCTTGGAAATGGATAGGATAGTTATTAATTCCAGATGAGGCCTTTTCCTGGAGGAAACATTAAAATATGGTGTGGCACGGTCTTCCTTCTACCCAAGTGGTTCTCTTACGGGTAGTCTTTTTTGCCATGAGCGTTTTACACGCTAGCTGTCTGTGTCGCTGATGGCCATTGTTATTGAGATGAAAAGTAACCCATGCAGAAATGAAGTAATGTTTAAGTATTTAGTTCAAGTATTTGTGTTTAGCAGTCATTATAGTTTTTTTATGATGCGGAAAGCTAGTTTGTGTACTATATTGAAATGACAGTACCTGTTTCCAAAATTGCTAGAGTTCAACACAGTACTAATTTCATTAAAACAACTAATTTCAACAAAACAGATAGTTGTTTATTCCATAGTGGCATTATCTGACATTGCTTCAGGAGGGGTTATCTAATTTGTCCCTTAGTCTAAAGGTGAGGACACTGGTCCATGTCAGCTCATGGAAGGTTTCAGGAAGAGCCGTTAAGTCAAAAAGTGTCTTAATCTACATTCAGTATATGCAAACAGAACTATGTCAGTCTGGTTGATGTCCTTACCTCTGTTCTGACCAGAAATAGGCTGCAGTCAGTCCTTTATTTTTTTTGGTAAGTTTGTTGAACTGAATGTGCAAGTTCTTTAGCATTCTGGTTAGCATCTCTGTTGAAATGAGCTCTCCTTTTAACTGATTTCCATTTTATTTGAGTTTATTTGTTGGCATATCTGAGAGATCTACATTTGCACTGTATTGGAAGTAGTGCTCCATGCATCATTTCAACTGGCAAATATTTGTCAGTGACCTTTGCAGTCTTTCTTTCTGCATTATTTTCTTTTGCAGGGTTGTTTTTGGGGATTTTTTTTTTTTTTTTTTTTTTTTTTTTTTTTTTTAAAGATATGTTATTTCAGAATATCTTAATAGGCGGATGTCTGCTGGCAAATACCAGCATATCTTGGATTGGCATCAACTTGTCCAAAGACAAAGCATATTTAGAGGGGAAAAAAAAAAAAAAAGTAACTGTTGTTTTGAGCTGTGTTCACATAGTTTTAACTAATCTAGTATTTTACAGAATTTTTGTTGTGATAGAAAAATTTATTAGAAGCTGAATTTGCTCTGGATTAGTAGAAGCTAAGAGGAGCTGTCCCATGATTGTTCAGCATATTTTACACGTGCCTTTTGAACTCAGTTTAACGCATTGTGAATTGGGAAGTTCAAAAAACCAAATCACATTTGACTATTACCACCATTTGTCAAGAGTGTCAAAACTTGTCAACTGTTATTGCAAAGGAAATAATACCCTTTGTTTTGGAGTCTGTGGTGCTGGATCTAATAAGGAAATCTAAAACACAGCTATGGACTTCATTTACATTCTTTCAGGAGCTCCAGTAGTATTCATGTAGAAAATTTGTAGGGAGTATACTTAAATGAGAAATTTTCTGTAGAGATTTGAAATACTTTTGCTATAAATAAGTTTGTCATACAAGAACTGAGCGGTTTTGGGGTACTATTTTTAGGATTTCAAGCATCCTGATGAAAAATAAAATAATGTATTTGGGTAGTTATTGGTTGCTTGTAAATTGAAAAATATTTTCCTTGCAACAGTGTGTTCTGTATGATTTTAACTTGAAACATGAGACAACTATCATTAATATTCACTTAGAGTAAAGAACAGCTTTAATAGTGTCTGTACTCATCCAACACTTTTCTTCACTCCATGCGCTGTTCATCACACTGAACACTCATTCTGTGCAACTGTTTGTTTTCAGCATAGGACAGATTCTCCTCGGTATAGCAATATGTCTTGAACAAACGTCTAGCAATTATTTAAAAAAAAAAAAAATAAATGACTGATTAAAAGGAAAATGGGAAGCTTCAGGGGTCTTGAAAGGAGTTCATGGGACTCCAAAAGACCATATGGAAAATTTGACTACTCTAATACAGAGAGGAAATATGACATGGAATAGATAAAGGTGATCATATTTTCTTGTGTAATAAATAATAAAAAACTTAATCCAGTAAAAGTTTCCAAGAAAAGTGGAAATAGTGTTTTTTCTGGTTTAATCACAATACTGAATTAAAGAAATCAGTCAAATTGATGTAACTGCCAGAAGTATTTTTGTAATATGCTACACTTTACATTAGCAAATATTGAATGATAGGAATAGATCTGTAGAGCAAAACAGTACAGTTGGTGCTAAGGACCTGATATCCACACAGTGTGCATTTCTAGCTTTATTGTGGTTCTTATTTTAGTCTGGTGTTCAATACTGAATACCCATGACTAACTGGAACTCATTTTCTGCTTCAGTTTAATCCAGAAGGAATCGGGTTCATGCATGGTAGGTGGAGATGACTGAAAAAATTGCTTCACTGTATTCAATAAATACCGAAAAATAATCCAGAACAAAATATCATCAGTGGAATGGTGAATTATAATGTTTTTGTATATGGTCTTGTTCATGTAGAGGACTGAAATCCATTTTGAGATGTTGGGTGAGATGCTCTGACAGTGGAATGTTCATGTACTTTGGCGGGGGGGCGGGTGCGGGCGGGGTGTCTCCAGCAGTGGCAATGAGGTCATTCAAACTGTTTTGTTGTGAGGAGCCCTGAAATATAGAAAGGCAAGTGGTCAGTGCATGGTTGTACTTGCCCATCTAGCAGCTGCAGTGTGAGCCATTGCATGATCTACAGCACCAGTGATCACAACCAGTTTTGATCACAAGAGTCTAACCCTGCTGAGGCATTGCAATGATCTGACTGTTGTGAGGGAAGTGCTTCTTACATCATGTAAATGCATATACAAATCCAAATTATGTTTACTTTGGGTGGTCACAACTTAGCCTTGAACCTTCTGTTGCTCCTGTTTTCTTTAGCAAGTCCAGCATTTGGGAATTTATCATGGAATAATACTGCATGCTCCATGTTCCAGACTTGCATGCATAGGTGGAACTTAGATACAAAGACTACAGTTGTGCAGTTTGTGTCATTTTTTCAATCAATGTATCGGCAATGTTGTGTTCTTTTTAGCTATTTTACTTTACACATTCTTCATGGGTAATTTTTAGGCATCCTTCCTTATATCAAACAAGACCCACGCCAGTCAAACATTTTAAAAACTCTGTGATGGCTAGCGAAAAAGGGCCTTACACATGTACTTGTGCAAACCTTGCAGATGAAAGCAAAGACTAGTAAATTTTTTCTATTAATAATATACAGTATGGTTATTTAATAAAACACTATATGATGTAAAGAATTCTTAAACAGGCAATATTCCCAATCTATGTCTAGAGAGGGAGAGGTAGATAAGAGAATGAGGAATAAGTGAAAAAATAATGAGTATAAAAGTATTCACCATGATAGAGATTAATTTTAACATAATCAGAAAAGTTGTTTGCTCCTAAGCAGCAAACATCAGGAGGAAATACAGGTGTGATATTTTTATTTTTTATTTTTAAGAAAAGGTAATAAATCATGGCAAGACAAATACATTTCAAATGTATTCCAAATAAACAAATCCTCTTACTTTATGACAGATCTGTTAAAAGATTGTGGAATATAAGCAACAGTAACTTATTTTCTACTTTTGAAAAATGGGCTTTTCTTCAAGAATTAGCTAACAAAAGATGAAGTTGTTGAAAAAAATCACCTCTTTTGGGGAAAAAGTCCTCAAAGCTCTTGATGTTCAACCAAAAGAAATAAACCCAGGATAGCTTTGTTTTAAGTTATGATAGTTGTAACATCACTCATCAGGAATTAAGAAATGAAGAGCAAAGGCTAATGGCTTGCTCTGGAATGCTCAGCAGTAGGAGTTCATGGTCTCATCATCACACCAGGGGTGCTGAGATAACTTCCAGCTTGAAGATAGCACAACCTGTCAGACCTCACTTTAATTGAATGCTAACTGGAGTGCTTTGGGCCAGTATTGACACTATTTTAAGCAGTGACATTGGCTCTCCAGCAGATGCAGGTATTGTATTCAATATGCAATAAATCAAACTAATGTAATTAAATGTTATATTAGGAAAAAAAAGATATTTTAAGTTTCAAAATGCACGTGAATTTCTTGAGAATGCATAAGTAATGATTGCTTATAATTGAGTTTCAAAATGAAACCTTTTGAGGACAGGTATCTCTTGAAATGGGCAGTGACTTGTTTACCTTTCCCCCAAGAGCTGGGCATAAAAAGTACAGCAGAGTACAGAAACAGAGAAAGAGTAATGAAATACCAGAACATAGTTTGTGTTTAAATCCAGAACCACCCTGTGTAATATCTGTTATGACTATTTATTGTGACTTCCATAAGAATTTTATTTTACATGGTGAAAACCATATTGTTTAATTTGTCTTAAGGAGTGTAGTAGTCCTTTATTGAATATAGATACTGTATTAATAGGAGTTGTTGTAGGGTTTAATTGTGACTATAAGAAAAATCAGCACATCTGAATCTTTTTTTGGGGGGGGGGTATATTGCAAGAAATTTGCAAATTTTGCAGAAATTTGTTTGTCATTTTAAATGGCACCTTCCTGAGTAGAATCACAGGTCATACTCAGTTATCCCCTGGCCTTCATCTCTGAATGTCATGACAGCAGATGCAATTTCAGCTTTGTACTTCCTTGATTTTAAACAGAGGAATTTTAATATCAAACAAAAATACAGTTTAATGTAATAAGCGAGTGCTACCATATGAAATGGTATTAATTATAGCAGTAGTACAAATAGTTGGTACAAGTCATCTCACACTAAACCGATATGAGTGTTTTCTGAAATATCTGAATTTTGTACTTCTTGCTCAAGTTAAGTATCAACAGATTTAGAAAGCACAAACATACCTTCTAATCTAGATTATCTTTCCTTTTAAAATGATCACACTGTTTTAGCTCACTGTTTTCACGTTCTATTGGGGTCTGTATAAATAGCTTACTTAAAATGTGAATGTAGCGTAGAGTAAGAAATCCCTGCTGTGTGTGGCAAGCTATGAAAGGGGAAGAAAATTCTATAGCAACTGTTGTTAAAAGGACAGGTATCTTGTTTGGACATAGATTGTTTGGTCTGAGTATTAGCTGTCTACTTTTCAGTATAGTGTCCCCACTGGGATTTGATTGAACTTGTTTTGGAAGTACATTGTAGACCAATACAACAGGGGCCATTTGATGGTCTAGGAGTTAAATTATCAGTGGAGCATTCCTCCAAAACTCAGTTTCTAAAGGTACATGGTTGTATTTGCAGAAACGAGAATGTTATAAGCTTTACGTACAAAAACTTCTAGAGCTGTTTTTCTTTATATTGATTCAATAATTTATTTTTTAAATAGCACTTCAGAGGGCTTTGTGTTTATAGTAATAATATTGAAGATTTTAAAAAGTTTTATTTGGAAAACAATTTTGTTCAGAGCCTTGAACAAATAAAAGAGCTAGGAGTTAATTACTGAAATTGCATTAAATAATATAAAGCTAGAGCAGATATTCTGAGAGAACTTCAGTGTGGAGTTTCTACAGGTTTCAACAGATTTTCTCATTTTCATGTGCTGAACAGGTAGGAGCTTTAAACCTACTCAAATTCTTAAAGCAACCTTGCTGTCAGTAGTTTCAAATAACATAGATGACTTTTGGATGTGAACTCTTTATAGACCTAAATAAATTTGCAGCTAAGGAATAGCTTTGGTTATTCTGTCTCTGAACTGTACTGATAAGGGAACAGAGGCACCAATGCATGAGTGCTTACTAAGTATCTGAAGCATCCAGCGATTAAAGGAAAGTATTTGGGAAAATTTACAGGCATGCACTAAAAATGTGTGTTGAACTACCCTTTCCTGGCGTTCTGCTACATGGCTCAGGGAGGAGAAGTGCCATTAAGTAAAACTATCTGACTGCTCTCTCTTCCCAGGCTGATGTGAAAGGGAGAGCAAGCATGCCTGTTTTCTCTTCTGCTGGAAGATAACCTCTCCTTTTTCTCTTTCATCTTTCCCAAGTGTCGTGGTTTAACCCCAGCCAGCAACTAAGCACCACGCAGCCGCTCACTCACTCCCCCCCATCCAGTGGGATGGGGGAGAAAATAGGGAAAAGAAGCAAAACCCGTGGGTTGAGATAAGAACGGTTTAATAGAACAGAAAAGAAGAAACTACTAATGATAATGATAACACTAATAAAATGACAACAGCAATAATAAAAGGATTGGAATGTACAAATGATGTGCAGTCCAATTGCCCACCACCCGCCAACTGACACCCAGTTAGTCCCCGAGTGGCGATTCCCCCCCCCCCCCGCCCAGTTTCTATACTAGGTGTGACATCCCATGGTATGGAATACCCCTTTGGCCACTTTGGGTCAGGTGCCCTGGCTGTGTCCCCTCCCAACTTCTTGTGCCCCTCCAGCTTTCTCGCTGGCTGGGCACAAGAAGCTGAAAAATCCTTGACTTTAGACTGAACACTACTGAGCAACAACTGAAAACATCAGTGTTATCAACGTTCTTCACATACTGAACTCAAAACATAGCACCTAGGAAGACAGTTAACTCTATCCCAGCTGAAACCGGGACACCAAGACAATTGGGAAAGTGGCAGTGGAGGCATAGCTTAGTTTTTATTTTTCCAAATAGTGTGTTTTGAAAATACTGTTTTCTGTCTTTGGTCCTAAATTTAATGTTTCATAGTGTGTCATGAATCATCATCTAGTCAGTTCTGCACCCCTGCAAAGCCTCTGTATTTCCAGAAATCATTTCTTTGTGTAACAACAACTATATATATAAATAAGGAGTTGTTATAATTTCCTGCCTTGAAATTTTCTGGAAGAACGACAGAACTGAGAAGAGAGCCTGCCCTCAGGAACGCTACGTCTTCTACCACCATGTCTCACTGGAGACTATTCCATTTGTTTTGATGCACTTTGAATTTGCTAAGTAGCTTGGGGTCATCCTCTTAAGACAAGAGTCTTTAGGAGCTCAAGAATAGCTAATGCAAAGTGGGTCAGGAAGGCAGTGCTATTTAAAGTACCACAAACATTTCAAGCTATTTGGCAGATCCAGCATGTCCTGCATGTGTACAGTGTTCAGCAGTTATCCTGGGATAAGTAGTAGGTGGAGTAACTTGGGTGCTTCCCCTGGAACCTGATTGGCACAGTGCTACATATTGTACTCAGATGGGTTTGCATATCACAGCATTCCAGCTAACCTGTGAAAGGGGAAGGAATACGTTCGGTAAATGTATAGCTTCTAGCTGTCCACTGAGATTTCTTTTCTAAAATCAGAGGTTCCAGAAAGAAGTAAGGATGTAAAACTTAAAACTAAGTTAAACACGAACTTAAGTACTTTCCTGAGAAGGATTGGACCTCTTAAAAGAGAGGCTTAAAAGGAGGAGAGCTTTTGGTATCGTAAGAATAGGATTTTAAAATGACGTCATGGTGTTTTAACTGCAACATTTCCTTGGATCATACTGGAACCATTTAAAAATGAAGTGCAAGGTGTAAAGAGCAGTTGAAAATGATTTAGAGCTACTCCACCGAACTCACCTAGGTCACATGTGGAAAACACTTTGTGGTATTCTGGAAATACATAGCTGCACAGTTAGCCAGAATGATAGGAAAATGTGTGAAATAGCATGTGTGATTAAAGTTAAACAGGGTTAGGAGCAGAAAGCTGTGGTGGTCATGGGCATGAATAAATTTGTCTTTAAAGCGGCTAACAGTTGGAGCTATTGTCTCTGTACAGCAGCTGTCTTTTGATCTTTTTTCTTTTGAATGGCTGAGGTGTCTTTTATTCTGTTGTGGCACTGCACTGTATATGTAGCTTTTGGGTAGTAAAATATTCTACGGTACATTTAGGTGTGGCATTTTGTTGGATTCCAAATTTTCTGTCTTTGAGACCTTTGGTAATCGTTTCTAACCTGGTAATTATTTTGGTTTTGTAAACTTGGGTGAGAGGCCTTTTGGCTTTATGATGAAAGCAGTTCATGTGCCTTGATCACTACACAAACTTTGTAATGTACCTATTATTTATCCAGTTATGCTGAACCTTTTCAAGTATTTATCACAAAGTATTGACAAGAATAACAGAATTGGAGAGAATCCTCATCAGAAACGTCCAGTGGTCTGTGCACACTGAAGATAGCAAATTTTAAATGAAATTAGGCAATAACATAGGAGTCAACTTGATAGTTTATAAATAATCTTACTAGCATCTTTTATTTTTTATGAGTGTTGTTTTCAGTAATAATTTTTTCAACATACATTTCATTTTCAATGAATTTTTGTTTATCTTCTTTCATCATCAGAGTGTTTTGGTGCAGGGTTTTTGGTAGCTGTAGGCTATGCACTTTTCCCATGTTGGGGAAATATGTTTTGTTGTATTAAATGTTAACCTCATCTGTTCAAACTTTCTCCGTAACAATGTTCCGAAAAGTTTGTAGCTTTTGTTTTGTGTAAAAAGAAAATAGATATATATTTCAATAATTTCCTGTTATATCAGCAGTATATTTATCAATCTTCTCATGTTTTGGTAGAATAAATATAAAAATAATTTGGTACAGATAGATATTTTTGGACTGAACTAGAGTTTTGGTTTACTAGTATTGCTGGTTTAGCGTGCCAGGGAATCAGAATAATCCTGAGCAATAATGCATGTTAAATTTATTTGAAGCAGTGGACCTGCTTTTCCTCAAAATTTGAACCACTTCCTCAAAATTTTTAATGAAGAGTGCTATGAAGGTAACATGAACCAAATGTAAACCACTTTACTTTTTCCTTGCAATGTGTATTTTGTAGACTGACTTAATAAAACCCAAAGGTTCAATTGCAACATGTATTGAGAACTATTTAAATATTGTATGAAGATTTTGGGCTTTTCTTGTTGTTGTCTACATCTGTTTAATTGGATGCATGTTTATCAAAATAGCTTGAAAGGGAATATTTGTATGTATTGACTCTTAATAAATAAATAATTTTGTAATGGAGAATTTTAAATAAAACAGCATATTTGTATACTATAGTTACCATCTGATTTTTTCTGTTTAAATTTTTTAGGGGGAGCCTATAACGTTCTGTGAGAATAGTTTTGTGAAGCATCGTTCCAGTACTACTAAGCAGTTCCTGGAAACTGCAGTTAATCTTCAACTGTTTAAACAGGTATGAGAGGGTAGATGACCCAAGTTTAATGATTTTTCTCTTAAAACTTACCCATATTTAAATACATTTTCCTTTCCGTCAGCTTCTGAAACTCTGGTATAAAATATAAGTACAAGTACTTTGTGTACAGTCAGTCATCCCAGTTTTGTTGTATTTTTAAATCTTCAGGTATAGTTTTTTAACTATAGGGGAGCTGGGGGGGACGGAGACGGGGACGGAACTCAACAAAAAATAGCCCCAGGTTGCAGAGCCAGTGCAGCATCTCTTCAGAGACAGTCAGCAGCTCATCTAAACAAGAAAAATCATGGATCTCCCAGCTTGATAGTTGAACTCCATTTTCAGCTCTCTTGGCTCATGACCAAAGAACCTAAACAGCATAGTGCTTGCTTAAATTGGACTTCAGTGGCGTTTTATTAAAAACTGGATTCATACTGTAATTGCAATTTTCATTACTAGGCTTTTTGAAGTATGCACACAGAGAATGTTACAAACCCAAGCCATAGGGGTGGCCTGAAAAATGTTCTAGCTAATCTGTTAATGCAGATTTTGAACTAATAGAGACCAAATTGTTGAATGTCTGGCACAGCTCAGTAATAGTTTTATTAGTCTTCGAATTTTTTCTTTGATTTTATTCTGTAACTCTTTTCTCCCTTTTCATCACATGACCACATTGCATCAAAAAGGTGCTAAGAAACTTATTACTAGATTTTTAGGAAAATGTGAATGAAATCAGAAGTCTCATAAAAGTATGTATTTGCCTGCAAATATCTGGAATGATTGAGGCATGGGAGTTCATGTTTAAATAATCTGGTGGACTTCTTTGAAGATATACTACAATGATAGATAAGGGAAATTCATTATATGTAGAATCTTCTAATTTTCAAAAAACATTTGGTGTTAATCAGAGGCTAGTGTCTAAAGAAAAGATTTATGCAAGGATTATAGTTTGTACAAGTCCTGTGAAAATAAGTTTTTCCTATTGTATAAAAGTTAAGGAAATAGTGATCATAGAATTGGCCTCCTTTTGATTTTACTGTGTTTTATTTTATACAATAACAAAATGTAAATAAAAATATACAATAATAAAGAAGAAATCTGAAACCTTTTGAAGCATCCAGTACTTATGATTCAAATGGAGAGAAGTAAGAGTAAACTGTTTACATTTTGCGTATCTCAGTGTGATAAGCTAGCATGAAACTTAATGGAAAGCTGCCTACAAGCAATGTTTCTAAATTGTTGTCACACTACTACTACTAAAGCAAGATCTTCAGCTGTAAGAAACAGGTTTAACTCCACTGAAATGAATGGGCTTGTCAGTGTGGCTCTGTACTTACCCATTACATTTTAATATGTGTTCAATTAAACAGAATCAGTTTACAGTTTGTTTATAGCTTGTTTTAATTTTATTTCAACTGAAGGAAATAATATATTTTAGAGGATTAGGAAATAGTAACAATTTTGATGAGGTATGTGGTTTAATAGTAGTAGTAGGGGTTTTTTTCATTCCTCTAGTTCCTGTTGCGAAAGTTACTCCTACTTCTTCAGCTAATCCTCAGCCCAGCTGCATCTTCTCCAGTTTTTCCCACTGGCAAATGAGCTGTTTTCAAAGTTGTTTGTGTTCAAAAAAGACTAAACTGTATTTTATGCTGTTCTGGAAAATCTTTTAAGCAGAAAATAGTTCTTAGAAGCAGCCTTAAACCTAGACCAAGCCGAAAATAGGTACTTTAAATGCACACTTTTTGCCATAACTGGCAAGTAAGCTTTACTTGTGCCGTTTTATAACATCCTTCCTCTGTCCTTTTTTCTTTGTAGGTTTTTAATCTTCTCCCCCTCTCACCTACATTAAAACATGTTAATTCCTCTAATTTAACCATTCTCTTAATTGTGGAAGTTGTAGTATCTTTTCACCAAAGTACCAGGAAATCACTGTCAGAATAAATTGTGGAATTAATTCTATGTGCTACTCCCATTCAGATTATTTTCATCTTCAACATCATCTGTTTTTACTTTGAATTGCATTTTGATGTGCTTTCTATTAATGATACCACCAAATGTATTAGCACGTGCCAATCTTTTGTACCAAAATCATTAACTAACCTGTAAATAGGATCAGTCCTGACACTTACTCTGAAACACCATGATCGGTGACAGTTCTAGCCTGACACTTTTCCTGCCATTACAAGTGGTTAGCTCCTTTTTGGGCGAGTCCTCATCCAACCTAAAGTTCAGGTGTACTGTTCAAGTACTCTGCTTTTATTTCATCTAAACTAGTATTTTGAAGCACATGCAAGAGGTTTTTCTGTCATACAGATAAATTGCTTTTCCTTTATCTAGAAAATTAATTGTCAAAGAATCTGTGAGAACCAGTGTTTTGATAACTCATGTTGTATCTTTCCATTTTCTCCTTTACCATTTTTCCCCGCAAATCTATTTGTCAGCTTCATCAAATTGTTAAGGGCAAACTAACAGACCAGCACTTATCACAACCTTTGTTTTTTAAGAAATGGTACTGTTATTTTTCACTTCAATTGTGTTTCCTTTACCTTCATAGACTTGTAAAAAATTTTTTTACTTCCAGATATATGTGCTGGTTTCCTTAGAATCGTGTAACAGAGGTGAATCTAGGGGGGTTTTGACACGAGTTTTATTCCTCAGGTATTATAATGTCCATTTCTGTATCCCATTTTCATTAACACTTGTATTTTTGTTCCCTTATTCAGCATCATAGTCTTTACTGAAAATTGAGACAGGGTATTTTTGGCAGGGACTATGCCTAGATTATCTTTTAGCCTCAAACCATTCTCTTGGATTTACAAATTATGGAGATGTCTTTTACATCAGGTTGATGACTTCACATTTTTGGAAGTTGACAGGACTGTTTATATTGCTCTAAAACAGAATATACCAAACTGTTTATGCAAAACATACATTTTCCAGGAATTCATAGAAGTAATTTATGATAAATACCCTGATATGGATCACAGCTATAGGGACATGTGAAGTTCATTTTTGCTGGCTTTAGTTTTCTAAAGCTGTCCTCTGCCCTGAATAGATTTAATTTAAAAAAAAAATGGTTATTGTTATTCTTAAACTATTAGGATATTTAATCATATAAAAATATTTTTCTCAGAAAGAAAATAATTATTATTTATATAGTAAATATTCCTATTTCCTGATTAAATATTCTGTATATGACAGTTTTTCTTCAGTTTAAATGTTTGTTCTCTGAGACTATATACTTATGTTACTTTTCTCACTGTTTTTTTTCCACATCTTTGATATTTGTACTCTTATGTATGCTATCTATTTGTTAGCTTTTTTGAGCCTTAGAAAGGCTCCCCTTTAGCTACCTTCCATGTTACACTAGTTAATCTTTATTTGAAGCTGCAAACATAAACAACTAATAGTTGCATCTTACATGTCAAATAGTTCCGATGAGTGTCCAGGGAAAATATTAATTCATTCTTAGAACTAGCATGAAACATAATGCTAGACTATCTTGTTAAATAATGTAATTGTATAAGCAATGTAATCTGCAACATTTATTGGGATTTGTTCCTCAAATGGTGGAAAGTGCTAACTAGACAAATAAATAGTGAATGCAGGATTAGGACTTGAAGAATCATAAGTCTTCGAAAATTATTAGAAATGTCAACTTTCATTTACAAGCTTTATGTGTTGAGCTCTGTTCTTGCAAGCTATTGAGCTGTTACTGTGTGGAAATCACATTTATGTTGTTTTCTTTGCTTCTATCAACTTTCTGTTTGTAGTAATGGGTGAATTGACTTGGCATTTTTACTCCTGCCTAAATAAATGATCGGGTTTAGCACACAAATATCATCTTTCCTCCCCCACCCCCCACCCTTTATCACCTGTGCAACAAGATCTTCTGAAGCGGATATGGTCTATATTTTGGTTTTAGAATTCAAAATTATTTAAGGATTATGGTAGTTCTGTCTTTAGTCATCTTAAAATCCAAGACTAGCACTGGAATTACTAGTTTGTCACTGAAAGTGGTAGTCAACCAAAGACTCTCTATCCCAAAGTAAATGTGTTTCTTGAAATAGCAGGCCCAGATTTTTCGAGGGAGTATGGGTTTGAAAAAAGGGAGGAGAAAACCATAAAGTGTATGTGCAATTCCACATGCTATTCTTTTCATGTAGCAGTTTAAGGGCAAACAGTAACAACTACTACTATCACTACTAACACAACTGCCTTGAAATAATTTCTCTAATATCTCTTTGCTAACTGTTCTGTTTGTCAGTATTTACATTAAATACTCAGTTGGAGTGATCCTCTAAAAACTAGAATTCAGTCAGTGTATCAGCCTTCTGTTAATAGAATTTTACCAAATGATGGGTATGTCTGTAAATCTTATGTTAATTTATAGTATGGAATGAATTTATAACTTTTCCAAAAGAGATAATGTCTTACAGTTCAAAGGCTGGGGATGTGGGGGGGAGGTGGTTTGTTTTTTTTTTTTCCATAGCAGTAGCTAAAGATGCTCTTATCTCTTTTTCTTACTGTGAAATAATCCAGTGATCCCATAGTGGTCTGACCATGAACCAACCTATTTGGAAAAAAGCCAACTTGGAGTAAAATGAAAAAATAAGAAGGAATTTAGACAAGAAAGAGAAAGAAATGGTTATCTTTGTGCTTGCCTTATTCTTGCTGCCAGATTTTTTGTACTCTGACAGAGTAATTTGTTTCATGTCACTAGTCTGTTCATTGACAAGCATCAGATTGTCACTGACACCGTTTGGATAATCTGTGGTAAAATAAGATATAGCCAAATAATTAATTTTGGTTAGTTCCTATGTACTGTTTAGTACCAGTGAATAACTCAGAATTCTTGCTAGAAGATGAACCATGTATAATTGGAAAAATGCTTTCTCACTTTATGTCTCAGACTTGAGTTAGCCTTTTCAAAACAAAAAGGGAGGGGTTGCTTCTTGAAAGAATTTTAAACCTTTAAGAACATGCTCATTGTACTTCTTTGAAGCCCGGTAATTCTTGAAAAGAATGTATTCATTCCTTCTGAGAGGTTTAATCATTAATTATCTTATTTTGACTTTTTCTGACATATTTGGATCATTTCAGTCTTTGCATATACACTTATAGGTAGATGCAAATCCACATGCATGCGCAGCTGTAACCTCTGCATAAGGACAGCTGTTGCAATATGCATCTCAAGATGCATCTAAATAGGTGTTAGTGGTTTAAAAAAAAAAACAAAAGGGCAAACAGATGTGTTAGAACTTAAAAATACAGTTGGTGTCAACCCTGAACTGTGCTCAGTCCGGTGGACAGGGTCTTAGAGGTCTGCCTTGGCGTTATGCCTCACTTTGTTTTGGCACTTTGTGTCACATTCCCATACAGTTAAATGTAAGGTCCTTTGAGTCAGCTTGCACGCTGCCAGTCAAATCTGCTACCACTGTTTCTGAAGACAAGCCACAGCCTTCCTCTGCTGCTTACTGGATGGTTCTGCTACAATTTTGACTCACATACTGTCCTTATAGGGTCATTTTTCATGTAGAACACATACACTTTTAATGGACCTCGAGCAGATGTCGTAGCCTATTGTTTCTTTGAACTGGGTGTGGTGAAATATTTCCAGTTGTTCTAAAGGTACTTCTTGTGTACAGCAAGTTCTACTTGGGGCCCATTGATGCATGCCCAGAAAGGGATTGAGAGGTTTGTTTATGTTGTTTTGTTGATAATACAAAGTAAACTTATGATTTCACAACAGAACATCACGGAATGTCTTAGTGACCTTTATATGATTATGATTATAAATCCAAATTACCATTTGTAAGGAAATAAATTAATATGTTTTCATGCCATTAGAAAAGCAAGAAAAGCTTGAACACCATTTAAAATATTTCTGAACAAAAATTTGTAAATTTTGCATAATATAGCTAATTTACTTGATCTATATAAAATACTCTGACATTTCTGCTGCTCGTAGTTGCAACTACTCTTGCAAAATCCATCTAAAAGCAGTATATTATCTTTAAGCTGTACGTTGTCTTGAACATACATATTCCATTATAATGTGCATGCTTAAAACTATAACACTGTAAAGCAATAACAAAGTGTGACTTTCCCCCCCCCCCCCCCCCCCCCCTCTCTTCATTT